GATGATCTTTTTATTAAACGGAATTCCGAATTTCCAGCCGGAGATATATATTATACTTAATTAATTATTGCAAAATTACGAACTATTTAAAATCGATATTTAAAAAAAAAAATAGATACAAAAAATTCATATAGTATCAATTCACTGTATATCGTATCTATCTTTTATATTATGCCATTCATTAAATATTTTGTCCCAATTCATCTCACTACTTTTTGTTCCCTCTAACGAAATTCGCATAAATGCATCTAGAGTAAATGTATTTAATGAACCACGTAATCGAGTTTTAATTATGTTCTGCTTAGAAAATCCACGTTCACAATCTACACTTGAAAAAGGAATACTGTTAGTAATGTGAACTAGTTTAATAATATTAGGAAAAATATCTGAATAATCGCGAATTAGTACAGGAAGTAATTCTTGTGAAGAAAACGTCAAATAATTTGAAAAAACAATATTTTTAAAACCAGACTATTCAACTATACAAGAATCTGAGTCTATTAATGGTAAAAAATTTTGACCATTAACAGTTTTCGATACTCCATAGTGATTTAATAAAGCTTGCAATTCTTCGTGGCCAAATTCTAACAATTCTTCTTTTTTGCATGACTATTCAATCAGATTTAAAATCTTCATTGCCGCAAGTAAAGGACAATCTGGAAAACAATTTGTAATTTCGGTTATTACATTGCTTGAATATTCATAAACGTCTTGTAATAGATCATCATAATCACGGTTGTTATATGCAAATATATGCGTATAGTATATTATTTGATTACTATTATTAAATGGAGCGATATGATCGATAAAAATTTGAAGATGATAGCCCAAATTTGCATCCGTAACATAATCTTTTTGAATACTTGTAATCGTAGCATCAATCATAGGAATGATATCGTGAAAATAAAGATTTCGTTTTTGAAAAAATTTATTTAATGATGCTAATTGGCCCAAAACATCATAAATAAAATGAAAAAATCCTATCAATCGCCAGTTACATAATCGTTTATATAGATTGCTAGCAACTTTACTATCGTCACTTTGAAGTTGTGAAAGTACGGCAGGTAATGTTTTAACAAAATTTTCAATGGCTTCATACCAGCCAAGCCATCGTATTTCTTTTAATTTCTTTAACCGTATCTCAGGACAATCGAGAATTCGTTGGTATTCTTGAAGAATATGAACTCGTTTTGCTGAATTTTTGTAAAATTTATATACATCTTTGATAACAGTCTCAGCATTAATAAAATAATCAAGCTGTTTTTGTGAATCTTTGCAAGCTAATGCCAAACGATGTGCAATGCAATGATTACAAACGATATACGGGCATATTTTGGATAACTTTTGAGCAACGCCGTTTTTGTTTCCAATCATTACGGATGCGCCATCCGAGGCAAAAGCTACTAATTTATCCATGACATCTATTTAAAAAAATAATTTAGTACTTAATATAAAATTTTATTATATACGTATTATAATACTTACTATAATTTTGAAACAGCCTAATTAATTTGGTTGTTATCGTCACTGCATCACTTTGATCAAGTGCAAGCAATTGCAAAAAATGCGTTTTGACATTCCCTAAGCTATTTGAATACATTATATAAATATCCATATGCTTGTTCATAGAAATATCCGTACTCTCATCGATCATAATACCAAAAGATATAGCTTCGCCAATTTCTTTCCATATTTCAGCTTTGATTATATTTGATATAGCAAATGCAAACTCACGACCAGATACTTTATTTTCGTAAGTAATTGTACCATCTATAATAAATGGTAACTCCAATTCACGAGACAATTGAACAAAGTAAGGAAGCTTGGCTAATGGTATATCTTGCCTTATAAGTGTATATACGATTTTCAAAATTCCAACTATATGACCGTTGTTTTTTTGTGTAAGTTGTTCTGATTCTTTATCTTTTAATTTTTCGGCAGTATCGAGTTTTATTGCATCTATATGTTGATCCGAAGATGCATGTTCTTTAACAGAACTTTTTCGCCCAAAATTTATAGATCCTGTAGTAATATTTACATTATTGAAATATCATATTATATAAATGGTAATAATTTTATTTTATACTGTATTTGTTTACCTGTAGTTCCAAAAATATTTTGTTTTTTATAATGTTTGCAATATTTACAAAACATTCGTCGAGAAA